GTCTCTGGACGCATGCCCTGCGGTCTCTGGGACACAAGCCCCCTCCCAAGCAGCAGCCACCAGAAGGAGCGAGACCCTCTTATTCAGAGCACGCTGGTGGCAGCACAGGAGGGGAGAGCATGGAGCTCGGCAAGCTGCCTCTTGAGAGGACCAGATTTCCTAGACTTAGCTCTGCAAGAGGTGGGGGTCACCCTTAGTCCCTGTGCCCTGAGTGTCCCTCTCACCTCAGTATCTCCATGTAGCTTCTGCCTGAGGAGTCCCTTTGCCTTGCTAGGGAATTTTACCCAAGAAAGACTGGAAACTCATCCACCCAAAACCAGGGTGAACAGGAAGAGAGGCTGCCGTGTTATGCAGCATTACTGTGACAGTAGTGACCGATACATGTTTCTATCCAACACTTATCCAACCTTTCCTTACACACAGAAACTTGATTTTATTCTGGGCAGTAGTGTCCTGGTGCACGAGGCTACATTTCTCAGTTTTCCTTGGGATGTACATAAAGGTTTTTGTGGGGGTGGGAGTTAGAGAGCCCTCTCGGGGTTCCTGGGGACACAGGGTCTGGGACCTACCTTCTTGGTGTCTTAACCCTAACATGCTGGGTTGCTTTCTCAGCACTGGTTTGCCACAAGCTGGCCTTTGGCTTGGCTGATCACCACGGCAACCTGGAAGTTCTTTAGAGACCCTGTAGCCTGCTTTCTAAAATCATGGATATTAGGTCCAAGAGGGCAAGTGAATTGTCTTGGGACACAACGTGAGTCCGCTGCTGGGCTGAGGAGAGAACTTGATTAGTTCCAGGCTCTCCTCGTGCCTTCCTGACTTACCGGGAGAAAGACTGCGGGGGGCAGGGGAAAAAAGGGGAGGGACAGGGTCCAGGTTTCCTACAGGGCTGGATGGGGCTCGTCACACCACAGGAACTCTGCAGGACCTGGGGACAGCTTCCAGTTGGTCCCAGACCCTGGGAAGACCCAACCACGGTTAAGGCCGTGCTCTGGGAAACTTGGATTGGTTTGAGAGGACTCAGGTCAGCAGGAACCCCTTCAAGTGTGATTTCTCCCACCTCCCCACTTCCTGTTCAGAAGACCATCTGAGGAAACCAGTGCTCTATAAGGACATGTGTAAGTTTCCGAGCTCTCTCTTCCTTCTCCCCAGGCCCACGTGAGGGGAGAGAGCCACAGGCGTCCCAAACTTCTCGGCAGAAGTTTATTCTGGTGAAGAAGACCGAGGTTTCCCCTTGTTCTGGGACACTGTGCTGTCGCCATGGGTTCGGGGGCCACTCTGGCCCCTGACTCCATCAATCAGACACTGCGCGGGTGCCCATCACACTGGGGGAACACGGGTGCGAGGGAGACAGACCTCCTACCCCGGCCCTCTCGTGATGAAAATCTCCTCATGACGCCCTCAGCCCCCAGCCACACAATGGCAGTTTAGTACACGGAGCCTTCAAAATGTTTTTAATTTCTTTTAATGTGTAACAGTTATGCCTGAGTTACAGAGGCAGCGCTTACAAGCAGCAGGTAGTTAAAGCAAATACCAGTTTCTCTTGCTAGTCTACTACTCCATATAGCTGAATAAATTATGGTGTGATTCTATTTAAACACTCGCCCACACACGCACACCCCACTCGCCCACACACGCACGCACACTCACTTCTGTGTGGAGGAGGACGGCTGTGAGTCCAACCCGGAAGCAATGATGTTGCCATTACTAGGATGAAGGAATGCTCTACAGCACTGTGTGACTACAGTTCCCAGGTTGGGTGGAGGGGTTGGATCGGCCACGTCGGAGTCGAGAGAGGCACCGCACACACAGGCGTCGTGGAGCATTTCAAGAACGCCCCGTCTGGTCTTGGTTTGGCGCCCTCTGTAGGAGGGGAGGGAAGCAGACCTGTGCACCCCAGCAACGCCCCATACAGAAACGCACATTCAGGAGCTCGGGGAGAACATCAGGCCTGAGGGGAGATCCGGAGAAAGGCTTTTCAGTTGGCGATCACAGAGTTTCTCAACAAGGTCCTGGGTCCAAATCTGAGACGGCTGCGCCAGCTCCACCCAGACCAGCCCCAGATGCTGGTGGAAATCTCAGAGTCAGAGCCTGTCCTGTTCTCCAGCCACAGTCCCGCCCGCAGTCGGACCTTGGGCTTTGTCTTCTGGGCAAAAACCTCCCTTCGTCCTTCTCTCTGATTCCCCTATTTCTCTGTTTCCTCTACTCTTTAACGTTTCTCTGCCAAAAGAACAGCAAAGGTAAATCAAGTAAAAAAGAAGAGTATAAAAGCATAGCTTGGTTCTTACGCATCACCTTTTTTTTTCCTTCGTAGCGAGAGAGATAGCACACGAAAGAATGAAGCAACAAAAATGGAAAGACCCCAGTAGAGCCTGGAATGTATATTCGGAAACACACAATATGCAGATATATCCCTACAGATGGTCCCTGGTACTAGCACGACACACACTGTGGGGTTTTCTTTCCTTTTTTAGTATATATATTTATATATAAAAAGTCAACTTCCTATAAACAAACAGCACACCACCACATTTCCAACTAATGTACATGAGCTCAGAAGAGGGCCCCCCATAGGTAGGACCAGTAGCTACTTGGGATAAGTTGGAGACAAAATCTCTTATTTTGCTATGAACTCTATTTACAGGGATGGTGGGGCTACTGACAAACCCCGAAGGGAGTGCAGCCTGGTGCCTCTTGTTCTACCAACATTGTCTCTCTGGTGAGGTTGTGAGCTACGGACACGAGGCTGAGTTTTACAGACCGAGTTGGAGAGACACATGGATACAGGGGCTTTCAAAGGAAAATCTTTCGGGGTCAAGGGCCCCGAAGAAAATGAGTCCCCATTCTGTATCACGTTGCTAGCTTGGGACAGCTTCAGAAGTGTTAGACGTAGTGAGAAATCATTTGGTTTATTCCCCAGCAGATCTTGGTTCTGTTTCACCACGGGAGGATGGGCAGATCCCCGGGATTGGTCCTAGCTTTGGAATTGTCACCTCCTGGATGGGGCCGGGCAGTTTGATGTCACCTGCCTGAGATCCCTGTTCCTGAGTCACCTAGGGCCAGGCCTCCAGGGGGAGGAGTGACCATTCAAGGAATGTGGGTGAAGATGTGATTGATCCTTCTGAAAGAGCTGCTTTTCGGCTGTGACAGCTACAAAGGCATGGAGTACATTTCCAAGGGAACAACATGATCTTCCCCTCGGTCCTGAGCTTGAAGAAACCAGTCTCTTGCACTGGAAGCTCCAGTTGAAACCTTGGCTGCCCTCGATGGGCCACATCTGTCCGGCTGCCCGCTGCTACCAGAGAGTCTATTTGTCCTCAATTATTAACAGGGCTCCCTTAACTACTGACACAGCCATCTCGTTCATGGCATGAGATTTGCTTGAGGTGCCTGGGTTTGAAGATGAGAAACAGGTGAGCCTGTGTCACACAGCCTGGCATCCTTGGCAACGTTCTACGCATCTTGTCGACCAAGAGGAAGGAACTCAGAGTAGCTCCCAAGGCAGAGCCCTTCTCTCTTGGAATGCCTTGCTGGCTGAGGGCCAGGGACATGGACGGAGCCAAGTGATCGGGTCCAGTGTTGGTGGATTCAGGGCTGTGTCTCCCTTACAAGTGTCCTGCACCCAGGCGTGCTTGATAAAAGCGATCCAAGCATAGATTATATGATGGTGATGGTGAAGATGAATATTAATGGGATACATAAGTGAAGGTGCTGAAGAATTCCACGCGAGGAGAATGCGGGGCTCAGGCCAACCCCCAAGGGTCCCAGGCCTCAAGAGTGGTGCTTGAGGAAGCCACAGGAGCTGTTAAGGAAGGTGCCTTTCCCTCTTCTCCAGAACCTCTGGTGTCTTCCTCTGTCCACTGATGGTGGCTTAAAAACCGGCCACGTGTGCCTCAGCTCGGCAACACTCACTCGGGAGATGGAGGCCTCCTGGCCAAGTGAGTTGACAATGAAAGATGTCGCTCTGGGCGGGACAGGGACACGCTCCCGCCAAATGCCTAGGTGACTGAGTAGTCTTATCTGTGGTCCAAGAAGCCTTCTCCAGAGCTCCACAGGGAGCTCTCTACACTTCAGCAGCATCAGGGCATGTGAGGGCAGACGGAGGTCCCTTCCCAGGGCACAGGGCCCGGTCTCTGTCGGAGGCTTTGTACAGGATCTAAACCCCAGGGCTGAGAACTCGAAGGTTGACAGCTGAACTTTGGCCTCCAGGGTTGGCCACCCACAAGCAAAGGGATCTTGGTTGCAAAAGCCCCTCTGAGCCCACCTTGTGCCTCTTCCTCCTGTAGCCTCGAGACTGTCCCTTCCCATCTCATCCGACTTAGCTAAGGGTCTGTGGGCTCCCTCTGCTCTTCATGTGGAGGGCGAGGCTAGAACTGGGCTTCCCTCTGAGAGGCCTCTTCGTCCTGAGGCCTGAGCTGAGTCCCGGTCCCCTGTGCCAGCCTCACCCCCATATGGCCTAAGACACCCAGCAGGGGTCTCTGGGGAGTGCTGTGCAGTCTTCCATATTCCCAGATGGAGCTGAGACCGTCACCCGGCCAACTCCCGGGAAGACCTCGGAGTCTCCTCTCTGCTGGAGTCCCCGTGTCCAGAGGAAGAAAGGGCTGTGGTTCTAGGGCTGAACCAGGGGCTCACCTTGCAGGTGGCTCCCAGCACCTACAGGTGAGAGCTGCCCTGAGCTTCATCTACTCTTCTAGACAGCACATGCCTGAGACCCGGGCCAAAGGGCTCCAGGACCTCATCTCAGCCACCGTCTTCTCCGGGCTGAGGCGCTCCGTGCAGGGTGAATTTCTGCCTCCATGCTGAGCCGTCCCGAGGCCCCAGCAGGTTCGAGTGGGGAGGAAGGCGGCAGATGCTGGTGGTAGGGTGGGGCGCTCTGGGTCCCTAGCCGCAGGGAAGGTCGGGCTGTCTGTCCATCTCCAGGGGGCTCCGCTGAGAAGGGACGGGCTCCTTTCCAGGTCCTCTGTGAGGGGAGAGGGGGACGAGGGGGCCGAAGGGGGAGGCTCAGGGGCCAGGAAGCGTTGGGTGGGGCCCGGGCTGGGGCGAGTCGCCCCAGGCACCCTAGTAAGCCTGGCCAGTTTCCACAGGCAGGAGTCCCAGCACCGTGGAGTGCTCCCCGAGCTTCATGCGACGCTGTGTGGAGAGGCTCACGTTTTTGGCCAGGTAATCAACAGCAGCTGGAAAAAGACAGAGAGAGAGAGAGGGAGAAAGTCCTACTAACGGAGGTTCTTTCGATCTGTTCTTCCTTTTACCAAGCATGCATCTTCCCATCCATCTGCTCTTCTGTCCTTTGGTCCGTCCCTCCTCCCTCCATCCGTTCCCGGCTCTTCCTCCATCGGCCCACGCGGCCCTCCACTCACCCTTTCCTCTCTCCGGCCCTCTGCCCCTCGAGCCACCCTTCCTTCCTCTCCCCTCCCTCTCTCCCCCTCTCCTCCTTTCGCTGCTTGTTCCCTTCCTTCCACCTCTTCATGCAGTTCTCCCACCTCCTATCATTCAGCAAATATTTACTCAACCTTTATTACTCCTGCCTTCCTTGGAGGTTTTGGGGAGTACAGGTGGGCGTCCACAGTGTGAGTGAAGAATTCATGCCCCTCCCAACAAGCCCTCCACATACCCTGACTGCGAGGATCGCCAGGAGTCTCACCGAGACCCGGAACAAGGAGGGGCAGGTCCTTCTGCCTCCTTCTGCCTTCCCTGGACCTCAGCCCAGCTCCCAAGTTAGGCAAAGCAAGGCCCCCGCACAAAAGCCAAAGCAGCTTTTGCAGGTGAGCTGCAGGGTCCACGCGGAAGGAGGAAAGGAGGAGCCGGGGCCCTGCACGCAGGAAGCCAAGGCCTGTCTGAGGCGAGCAGGTTAGGGGTCACGTGTGGGCCTGTGAGTGGCACACACCTGTGCATGCGTGAACAGTGTGCAAACGGTGACAACAGGGATCTCCACACAGCAGGGACAGGCGCGTGCGTGAACGTCCACACAAGAGCAATACTCAGGTGTGTGCACATGCTTGTGCAAGTCCTGCAAACCTGCCTGAGCACAAGAGTAGGAGCAGCGCCTGTGCAGGAACAGGCGCTGTGGGCAGGTGCGCTCCACACCCACATAGGAGTCAGGGCCGTGTCTGGCAGCGTGTGAGCTCAAAAGCCATGGGTTCAAGTGCAGTGGGATCCAGGGGCTGGGATTTGGAAAACAAATGTGGCCTTTGATGTGGTCAAGAAGCAAAGGGTGCGGTGACCATGCAGCTCTGGACTGTCACTCTTCTCTCTAGGACTCCTTTGTTGTCTTTGAAGTGGACAGAACAGAGGCCAGCTTCTCCAGGGCTGCTGCTATGGGGGTCACGTGAGATAATGTTCTTTGAGATGCGGGTCACAGAGGCCCACAGAGGTTGCACAAGGCCTTCTTGATTCCTAAAGGATGTGCAAATGCCCTGGGGTCTCTTTGGAGTGCCTGGACCCTGTGCCCCTCAGCTGCTGGTGTGGCGCTGCCATCTCTGGCTTTGGGGAGACCCTGAACCTCTGGCGACACCATCTCCTCTTCCTCCACTCAGCCAGGAGGTCCCAACTCAGAGGGGTGACAGGAAGAGAGGCAGGAGGCCCAGCCTGGCAAAGCGCCCACCCTGGACAGGGCCTGCTGGCTCTCACTGTTTACTGAATTCGCATGGCCATTCTATGAGACTGGTCAGGAACTCTCCCCCAACCCCACAGACCAGGGAGCCAAGGTCCTGGGAGCTGGCATGGTTTGCAGGGTCATAGGACCTGTGGGTTGTGAAACCAGGATTCAAGCCCAGGCACTCCGGTGGCAGAGTCCCTGAGTCCCAGCAGCCCTGTGCACAGCACTCGAGTGTGGGAGGGTGCTCCCCACCCAAGTCCTGCACGGGGGCCCATTCCTACTCCAGGCAGGACCGGGGGCCTGAGCACAGCACAGACAGCTTGGGAGACTTGTCCCCTGCTGCCTGCTGGGCCTTATTCCAGACCAGAGCAACCCCTGATGAGCTCTCCAGCCCTTCTTGCCGGGGAGTCTGCCAGGCCTGGTTGAGAAGTCAGAGTTGACTCTGAGGTTGAGGCAGGAGCATCACAAGTTCAAGTCCAATTTGGGCAACTTTAGTGACTGCAAGATTCTGCCTCAAAAATAAAAAAAGGTCTGGGGATGGAGTACAGTTTGAAGCGTTCGATGCCCAGTACCAGGGGGGGAAAAGTACAGAACGAGGTGCCTCTCTTAGTGGATGCTTGCTGTGTCGGGTGGCCCTGATCACAGCGCGTTCTTTGAATAGCTCCTCGCTTTGGGGAAGATCGCTCCTGTCTGACAAAAGGCCAAATGGAGGCACAGGACAATTGCTGGTCCGGTCACACGTAGCCCCCTGGCTTGGAAGGGCTCGGGCTGGTCACACTTGCACCTCTATGCACTCTGTCTGTCTCCTCCTCTTCCACCTTTCGAGTTACCAGCCCCTCCCAGCACACAGTAGGAGCGTGCCCAGGCCCTGTCCAGGTGGCCAAGGAAACACCGGGACACCCAACTTTACTGATGACCCAGCAGCCAACTTCAAGGGCACCCAAGGGCCACAGAGGCTGCCTCTCCCTGGGGTGGAGCCGAGGGGCTGGTGAGGGCAGGGCTGTGACATTTCTCATTAGGGCCTCAGTCAGCCGCCCTCCCCGTCCCGCTGTCTCTCCGTGTCCCTCCTCTGCCTCTCGCCCCCGCCTGGGCTCTAAACATCTCAAATTAGATTAATCAGGAGTTGGCAGGAGCTGTGGCTGCAGTGCCAACCAGTAAACAAATCTCAGCCGTCAGCGCCTCGTCAGCCCGCGGCCCCAGAGGAGGACCCTTCTAGACACAAATTCTTATTAGACTTGTCAGATCTATTAAAATTCTTTTCACACTTCTGCCTTCTATCGGCCCCATCATTAGTATGGCCCTGGCCTCTGGGAACACCAGGGCCATATTAATCTGCGGACTGCCCCATCCCCGGCCCCCCACCCCACCCCCGCGGGGCCAGGGAGGGAGGGACAGACGGATGGACAATGGCCGGAGCAGGAAAAGAAGGGGAGTCAGTGTCCCTGGAGGGTGCGGGTCCCAGGGGAGCAGAGGAGGAGGTTCCTCCTGCCAAGGTCTTGGTGCCTTCCATGCACAGCTGAGGGTGGCTCTCTAGGGGCCGGGCACTGCCCTCCATCACTGCTGCCGGGTGACCTCGGGCCAACAACCTCTGGGATGCCGCGTCATCACCCACGAGAGGGGACAGACACGCACACTGCCCGGGTGGCCGAGGGTGGGACGTCAGGCCCACAACAGATGCTCAGGGAATGGGCATTGTCCTCTCTCCGTGTTCACACGACAGTGATCCTCACATGCAACCTGCTGCTCGCACCTGTCCAGGTGTAGATGTGTGTGAGGCTGTGAGTGTGAATCCACGCGCAGGTGGGGCTAGGTCTGTGTCACGACCCACACCGCCTCTGCTGTGGGGCCTGGGAAAGCTGCCCGGCCTCTCTGAGTCTGGCTTTTGCATCTGCGATGGGGGGATAACAACTGAGAGCACGTGAGTGAGACTTCAGCCAGTGTCCCGGGGGCTGAGCCACGCCCAGGACAGGCGTGAGCGGGTGACAGGTGAGCCCCAGGGCACACACAGGACAGTGCAGAACAGGTGACTTGGAGTGCGCTATGGGATCCCAGCCGTAGATGCAGCCAGTGGCCCACGGACAAGGCGAAGGTTAACGGGAACACAGTATGTCTGTCCCGACTGTCAAAGGTGAGGGCGATGGGACGCTGGAAAAACCTGGAGGTGACGAGCGTCATCCCTGGTCCCCATTGTGCAGCTGGAAAGACGGAGGCTCGGAGAGGCAAGTGTGTGACTAATAGGGCAACCGGGCAGCCCCTCCAGCCAACCCCACAGCCTCCTTGGGGGGGGGTCTGTGTGGCTTCTCCTGGCCAGAGAGCAGCTCAGAGCCGTCACTGAGGAGCCAGGGGCACAGGAGGGGAGAAGTGAGAGGCAGGAGGAGGAGAGAGAGGCAGGCGGGTGGGGAGCGGAGCAGGAGGGAGGGGCCTCACCCCACAGCTTCCCTGGCGGGGGCGCAGGCGCTCCTTTCTCCCTCCCGGGCCCCTTCCCCTTTGATCCCCTCCCCCACCGCCCGCGCTGACTTTGGGGTTAATTTTATTTCCGAATGGGCAGGCGCCCCTGGAGTGCTGTGCGGGCTCTGGGTGTGACTAACGCCCGCCTGGGGCTGGCCGTGCTGCCAGCGCACCGGTCCCCAGTCTTGATGGAGAGCACGTGTGTCCCGCCGGGAGCCGGGAACGCGCTCGGGGTCGGGGTGGCTGGGTCCCTCGGGGATGGTCCTGTGCACACGCTGCACCCCATTCTCAGACAAACCACACCCAGCGGTGCACACAGGCGCGTCACACGGCACGTCCAGATGCACGTGCCACACCGTGCACGCGTCCAAACTCTCAAGCGCAGACTCCTCAACTTACGTGCACACCCCAGTGGGCATCTGCACACACTTACACATGCGTGCATGTCTACGTGGGACATGTGGGCTCGTATGCCGGACACACGGTACATGCACTTGTGTGCACGTTTGAGCACATGTGTTCCTGCCATATATATATGTATATAT